TATGTGAGACACTGGGTTCTATCTTCAGCATCACATAAAAATAAATAAAGGTATTATGTCCACATACAACTAAAAATATTTTTTAAATAATTAAATAAATAAATAAGATAAAATGGGCTTTGGATACAGCTCAGTAGTAGTGTACCACTGGATTCAATCCCCAGCAGTACACAAAAAGAAAGAAAAAGTCATACAGTGCCCTCTGATGCCCAAGACCAAGTTCATGTGAATTCAATACAAATCAATTTCAGTACTGTCAGGCAGTCAGAAGAATTATCATGGACATTTCCCAAAATCCACTTAGGTTAGAACTTTGAGTGGGAGAAACCTTTCTTAACAGGACCTAAAATAAAAAAAGAATAAAAGGTAAATATTGATCAATTTGTTTATATTAACATTAAAAATGCTTGGGCAAGCCAGATGCCATGGTGCCAGCCTAACTCAGGAGGTTAAGCCAGGATAATAATAAATTCAAGGCCAGCCTCAGCAAATTAATGAGGTAACTAAACAACTTAGTGAGAACCTGTCTCAAAATAAGAAGGGCTGGCCAGGCTCGGTGGAGCACACCTGTAATCCCAGCAGCTCAGGAGGCTGAGGCAAGAAGATCGCGAGTTCAAAGCAAGCCTCAGCAACAGAAACACTAAGCAACTCATTGAGACCCTGTCTCTTGAATAAAATACAAAATAGGGCTGGGGATGTGGCTCAGTGCTTGAGTGCCCCTGAGTTCAATCCCTGGTACCCAAAAATAAAAAATAAAAAGGGTTGGGACATAATTCAGTGGTGAAGCGTCCATAGGTTTGATTCCAATACTAAAAAAGCAAACAAACAAAAAATGTAGGGGCAGCAAAAGAAAAACACAACTCCATAAATCAAGGCAAAAGGCAAAACAAGGAAATCAATCTGCAACACACATGACAAAAGGCTAGTTACTTTTATTCACAAAGACTTTTTAGCAAGGCCCTGAGCAACTTAGCAAGACCCCGTCTCAAAATAAAAAATAAAGGGCTGGGGATATGGCTCAAGCGGTAGGGCGCTCGCCTGGCATGCGTGCCGCCCGGGTTCGATCCTCAGCACCACATACCAACAAAGATGTTGTGTCTGCCGAAAACTAAAAAATAAATAAATATTAAAAAATAAAAATAAAAAGGACTGGGGACATGGACCTGAAGTGCAATCCTCAGTACTAAAAAAAAAAAAAAAAAAGAAAGAAAGAAAAGAAAAAAGAAACAAACAAACAAATTAGTGGGAAAAAGACCAGGATAGGGAGTGAAGGTGGGAAGAGAGACAAGTGATCTTAACACACAAGTTTACTGGAAAAAAATAAAAAATACAAATAGTTAGCATAGGAAGTTACTTTACATCTGTATCACAGACAAATGTGGCTGCATGAACTTTACATAATTAAAATTAAGTAAAATTTAAAAACAATTCTTTAGTCACACTGGCCACATTTTAGGTGCTCAAGGAACACACATGACTAGTGGTCACCACATCTGATAGCAGATCAAGTTTCCATCAAGTTTTACTGAACAAAACAATTGAAAAACTGCTTTGTTACTGAATGAAAATGCCAAGAATAAGATAGATACTCTTTGGACTACAGGAAAAACTGGAGAAGAAAAAGGAAATTTCAAATTTTTGGAAGATACCTATAATCCCAGTAACTCCAGTGACTTGAGAGGCTGGGGCAGAAGAACCTCAAGTTCAAGGCCAGCCTCAACAACTTAACAAGACCTTATCTCAAAATAAATTTCTAAAAGAATTGGGGATATAGCACAGTGATAAAGTGCCCCTAGGTTCACTCTCCAGTACCACCAAAAAACAACAACAACAACAACAACAACAAACAGGGCGGCGGTGGGGGGGGCGGTGTACAAATTGGCACAAAGTTGGGGGTTTTTTGTTTTTGTTTTAGTTTTAGTTTTCGGTGGACACAAACATCTTTAATTTATTTTTATGTGGTGCTGAGGATAGAACCCAGTGCCCCACGCATGCCAGGCAAGCGCGTTACTGCTTGAGCCACCTCCCCAGTCCCAAGGCACAAAGTTTTAAAGATATGTAAAGACATATTTCAAGTTCAAGTGTACATTACTGGCCCTCCACTGGGAATCAAACCCAGGGCCTCCTAGGCAAGCACTCTACCACTGACCTACATCCCCACTCTTTTTAAATTTTATTGTGAGATAAGGTCTTGCTAATTGCCCAGACTGGCCTTAAAATTTGCAATCTCCCTGCTTCAATCTCTCAAATAGCTAGGATTACAGACATGTGACACCCTGCCAGCTAAAGTAATCTTTATCCTAACTATTCCATTCACACAAATACACATATACATGTATACATACATATACAAGAATGATACCAGAGGAAACAAACTATAAATGACCTATTTCTCATAATTAAGGATCAATTTTTTAAATGATGACATATCCAAAAAAAATGGAATACTAAAAAAAAAAAAAAAGAAAGAATAGGGAATGTAGCTCGGTTCAATTCTCACTTGGGTTCAATTCTCACTACTGGAAAAAAAAAGAAAAGAAAAAGACCAGGCATGATGGCACACTCCTGCAAACCTAGCAGCTCAGGAGGCTAAAGCAGGATTATAAATTCAAGGCCAGCCTATGCAACCCAGGAAAGACCCTGAACCAAAACAAAACAAAACAATCTGAGAATGAAGCTCAGTGATAGAGCATCTGCCCAACATGTGAATGGTCATGGGTTCAATCCCCAGAACAAAAATAAATAAATACATACATACATACAAATAGTAAGTTTGCTGAATACACTTTTTCAAACTGCACCCTACCTCTTAGAGATTCTGATACAACTACAAACTTAATACAAATACAGGTTGGGCAAACATCTGTAATCCCAGCAACTCTGGAGGTTTAGGCAGGAGGATCACAAGTTCAAGGCCAGCCTCCAAAATGTAGGGAGACCTTGTCTCACACACACACACACACAAAAAAAAAGGTTGTGGGAGGGCAGTCTGGAGAAGTACCTAAGTGTAAAGTGCACCTGGGTCCATTCCCTGGTACACCCTCTGCCCATATTTTTTTTCTAGAGACTTAAAATGAATCAACATAATTAGGGATCTGCCTAGTTACAATTAAAATTTACCTTCTTTTTGAAACAGGGTCTTGCTCAGTTACCCAAGCTGGCCTCGAACTTGTAGTCGTCCTATCTCAGCCTCCGGAGTCATGCACTGCCAACCCAGCCCATATTTCTTTTATTAACAGACACTGTGAGATAACCATGAAGTAGAAGGCAAAATAGCGGGGCTGGGGTTGTGGCTCAGCGGTAGAGCGCTCCCCTAGCATGTGCAAGGCCCTGGGTTTGATCCTCAGCACCACATAAAAATAAATAAATAAAGGTATTTTAAAAAAAAAAATAGAAATACAACTATCAAAAATTATTTTTAGAGTTTTATCTTTTATAAGGAAACTACCAGCACAGTCACACAAAAAGATATGTGAAAACAATAAAAAGTACTAGTTATTTCTGCACTTTTTTCATATTTCCAGCTAAAACAAACATAAGTTGAAAGCTCATTAACCCTCTAACACACGAAATTTACAAAACAAATGCATAAGGTTCACAAAATAAATACACCAGATTGAATAAACAATAGGACCCAGATTTGGGGAAATAAATGACTATAGCAATATACCCAAAATATTAAGATACAACTGATGGGTAAAAATACGTGATTTTTTTTCTTCTTTGTGCTTTTCTATAATTTTCTAAATTTCACCACAATAAATATTTAACTTTTTTTTTTTTTTTTTTGGTATAGGGGATTGAACCCAAGGGCACTTAATCACTGAGCCACATCCCCAGCCCTTTTTATTTTGAAACAGGGTCTAAGTTGCTGAGGCTGTCCTCCATCTTGCCATCCTCCTCCCTCAGCCTCCCAAACTCCTTAGATTACAGTCATGCACCACCACAATCGGCTATTTATTACTTTTGTATTCAGGGGGAAAAAAACTTATTTAATAAATAACCATCCGACATTTAGTGTGCTGTCCATGTATTAAAGAGATGAACACCTCTCACTTTCCAACACTGAAATGCTATTGTTTAATGCTCTGCTATTTTTCTGTTGCACCCTCAACGAAGGAATAAACTTCACTTTCTCCCTTTTTATTTTTACATACATACACGCTTTTTATTTTTTTTCTTCGTAAAACACAGAAAAAGTTCTGACTAAATATCCTTTTTTAAAAACCTACCTCTACATTTCCTTATGACAAAATTGGGGGAAAAAATGTTTTGCCCAAGAATCACAATTTGCGGGCCACCATCACTTTGGCTACAGAAAAGTGAAGGACGGGTAAACTACACGTCCCACCATGCATTGCTGCCTTGTTCAGAGTAGGTCTCTACGGAAACTGAAAAAAAATATATATATATTCTACAAGTCCCACCTGTTACTTCGTTTCTAAACACCTCCAGCACTTTCAGCTCCAACAGAAAACAAAAACAAAAGCCTCGTGACCTCACGTCGGCTCCGAGAGCCAGATAAGCAGGGGGTCAGGCAGAATGTCGGCTGTAGAGGGTAAATTCTACAAGCTCCGGCGCTCCCTTCTTCTTTCCGGAGCTAGATGCACGCACAAGCCTTCTCCTGTCTGCATCCAATGGGGGCTCTCCAGGCGCACAAGGGAGAAGAACCGGTTACTGTGCAAGCACAACAGACTTCCCCTTGCCGGGGCGGAGGCTACCAAAGAGTGGGGGCGACAGTGACATGACCCCAGACAGCCTCCAAACACCAAGAGGACTCGTCACAGATGCTGGGAGAAGCCGCAGCCTGACGGCGAGCCCCTTTTGCTAGCGCCTCCATTCCCACAGGGACCGCAACCCCGACCCTAACTGCCGCCTGCTCGGCGCGGTTTTGTGCCTTCAGCGGGGTCGCGGGGCCAGTGACCTCCCTTCCCCCGAGACCGGCGGGCAGCAAGGGAACGAAATCCTCCCGGCCTTCCCCTTCGCTCCCTCCCCCTTACCGTCTTGGCGGCCTCCGCCCAGGTCCTGCCCTTCTTCCTACGGCCCTTTTCCCTCATGTCGGGTCTTGAACTGGACTAGGAGGTTCCCGTGTCCCGGCTCCGGCCGCCCTCCCTGCCTTCTCTGCCCTGTGCTGCTTTTCCCGCGGTGCCGGGAAAGGTGGGAGAAAGGGGAAGTCAGGCCGGAGGAGCAACCTAGCAGAGGAAGCGGCGGGGGAGGTGCGCGGGGGGGTTTATGGGGCGGCCGATCCTCCTGCTGCCGTTGCCACTGCTACCGCTGCTGCCATATTGGGTTCTTACTGTACAGGCAGCCGCTATGGTCATGTGACCGGTCCCGCGCGGCCGTCAATACTGTACGCAGCCGGCCCCTCAGCCCAGCCGCAGAGCCAGGAAGCCGGCCGTCCGCGGCTCCTCGCCACGCCCCCTCCCTTCCGGTCTCCGCCTTTCCTCAGGCGCGTGCGCAATGAGGACGGGCTCGGAGTTAAAAATCTCCCGCCTAGCGCTCACACGCTCAGTGAAAATCTGCCTGCGGAAGCGGAATTTGATCTCTCAGAGGAGGCAGGTTAAGCGCTGTGAAACCGCGTGCGGGTTGCCGCGGTGGCTCTGGACACTTAAAAGCGACAGCGTCTTCCCTCAAGGGTGAACCTACCAATTATTACTTCTCAAAAGCCTAACATTTGTTTCCTCGTTTGTTTATATTAGTTTTTGCAAAGGTTGTGTTTTTGAAGATTTGCAAGTTCTCGTGTACTTGTTAATCCTATTGAATAGATAAGGCCGTGACGTTGACTAGACCAAACTAGAGTCGGATGTAGAGAAACCAAAATCAAGTTGTTGCCCGGTAAGAGCCCTTATTGTCTTTCAAGAATGCCTCTCAAAGTTGGATGACTTTATAAGGCCCAATTAGTAACTCCAGTCACGTTTTTAGAAGTGAATGGTCTTGTAAAGATAGAAATGGAAGAACTCTTGTTGGTCTCTCACAGAGTTCAGTCCCTGGCACATTGCCTACATATATCAGGCGTTTGGTAAATATTTACTGAATGATTCAGCTATGTCTGTGGTCAAAAACCATCGTTTATAATGTCCACTACAGTCTCCTGAAAGACCGAGAATATGGCATCTTTCATTATCTGTGTCTTTATACTTTGCAAAGTAAAAAAACGAGGGACTGAGGGGAGAATGTAACCCAGTGATAGAGTACCTGCCTAGCATGAATAGGTTTCAGCAGTTTATGGACCCCCCTATAATTATACTCAATATTTGTAACACGTGGATTTTTTGAAAACAGGGTTCATAACTTTATCTTAGTAATTCATAGCACATCGATAATACTCATAGTGTGTACCACCTCGTTACAAAGCCTATAGAGGCCCTGCTTAATCCCCAACTCTTGAATGGGCTTGCCATCCAGTCCTGTTGCACTGACATGGGAGCTCCACCCAACTTGTTCTGAGACTCTACTAGACCACAGTCTCCACTATACTTATACTTATATTGTGTTTCTGCATCTACATCCCCAGGTATTTTATTGTGGTGGTTTGGTTTGGGTTTGGGTTTGAGTTAATATTATTTCGGTTTTTATTAGAAGGTCTCACCGAGTTGCCAGAGTCTGGTCTCAAACTTGTGACCCTCCTGCTTCAGCACTTCTGATTTTAGTTTCAAGGTTCATGATTGTGATATTGCAGTTCCTACTTTTTAATCTACAGATCTAAATAGTTTATTAGTACTGTAAAATAATCTCCCAGAGAGTATCTTTGCCTATTAGTGCAATTTGTTAATGAATATTTACAACTCTCTCATATCTGCCCTCCTTCTGGATTTCCTTTAATATCTTGTTTCTTCTCTCACTCTCCTCAAGCCCACCCTTCAGAAAATGCCAGCTCTATTTTAAAACCCCACCTGGCAGTGGGCTGTGTTGTGGCTCAGTGGTAGAATACTTGCTTGCCTAATATGTGTGAGGAACTGGGTTCATTTCTCAGCACCGCACATAAATAAACAAAAATCCATCAGTAACTAAAAAAAAAAAAAAAATTAAAAACAAAAAACCCACCCAACTAAGACATCACCTCCCAAAGGCTGCCCCTGGCAAGCTTCACAGAAGCAATTTCTATATTCAATTTAGTCATGCTTTGACATCCCTACTTACTTTCTTCAGCATTTGCCAGTCTCTTGAAGACCTCTACTTCCACTTTTGCCTCTTCATTTAACTAGTAACATTGCTGTATACATCATGTAAAAATTAATGACCACTAGTTGCAACCTTCCTTCAGCTCGTAAGTTTATCCATAAAACTGCCAATCCTAATCTCCGCCTCTCCTTAAGGTAGTATACTACATAGCATATATAGGACTCCATCCTTTCTCACCTCCACATGCTCCATTGTTTTTATTGCTTTGATTCCCCTCTACCTCCTACAAGCATGCCCAGGACCACTCCAGCTTTAATGTAGAAATCATTTTAGCCAAGTGTGGTGGCACACACCTATAATCCCAGCAGTTAGAGAGACTGAGGCAGTAGGATTGCAAGTTCAAAGCTAGCCTCAGCAACTTAGTGAGGCCCTACCTAAGTAATGCAGAGTGAGACCCTGACTAGGAAAAAACTTTAAAGGACTAGGGATATAGATTAGTGGTAAAGTGACCCTGGCTTCAACCCCCAGTGTTGAAAAAAGAAGAAGTAGAAGGTCTGTGCCTATAATCCCAGCTATTCTGGAGTCTAAGGAAAGGAAGGAAAAGGGGAGAAAGATATCTGACTCCTCCACGGTAAAATGAATGAGCCCCTTTGACAAACTTTAGCTTAGTGTACTACACACAGAAAACAGAATTTTTAGGCTACAAATATCCTTTAGGCTTGGTTTATCTTGGAACCCGTGCAGATTTCCATTTTCAAAATAAAAATAATTTGTTTTCATTTTTACAAAATGTCTCTGTAAAAATTTCATAGATATTTGGTCTGTCAAAGGAGATACTGAGATTCGACTTCTTGTGCAAGCAACTTATTAGCTCTCAGAAGAAACCTGTAAGGGTATGAAGGAAGTATGATGGAGAAGTAAAGAAGCTGAGAAAGTCTAGCCTCAACCTGATGCATCCATCTGCTGAGCAAGAATGGCCAGCATTAGTTAAGTTTGTCTCCTTTAGAAAACCAAACTGTCACTCAGATGTAATAGCCTCCATTCTAGACTTGGAGAAACTGAGGACAAGAGTACAAGTAAGCCTATTTGGCCTTTGCACCAAAACTGTTTTAATCTTCATTTTTTATAGTTAAGAATGTGATATTTTTTTATCTCCATCTGCTTGCCTCCTTTATGTATCTTTCAATTACTCTTTTGCCAAGATTGGGCAAGCTGACACCCTCACAATCCAACATACAGCCAAAAAAATAAATAAGTTTAAATATCTACATATCATTATTACTTGACTTATATACAATAATTTTAACCAATCTATAGTTATTTCAGTACTAGTATTTAAAACTGAAATGAGTGTCCTTGTGTACACATTGTTACTCATTCATGGAAAGAGAATTAAAAAAATACTAAAGTAAAAAAAGACAAGATATAGAATCATATGCATATGTTGTTGTTGTTAATATTTATTTTTTAGTATTAGGTGGACACAGTATCTTTATTTTATATTTATGTGGTGCTGAGGATCAAATCCAGTGCCTCGTGCATGCTAGGCGAGCACTCTACCACTGAGCCACCACTCCAGCCCCCCCAGCCCTTTTAAAAATTTTATTTTGAGACAAGGCCTCATTAAGTTGCCCAACCAGGCTCCAACTTAAAATCCTTCTTCCTCAGCCTCCTGAATAGATGGGATTACAAGCATGAACCACCGTACCTGGCCGGAATGACTTTATGATGTGGGTCACTTTATGATGTGCCCCACTCTAAGACAACAATAGTGAGCTATCCCAGTTCAGAGCTCTCATGAGGATAACTGTGACTTTTCTTGATACTTTACTTGAGCTCAAATTATCCTGCTCAAACTTCTTTTCCTCCCCTGACAGGTGTTGTTGCACCTAAGCATACTCCTCAGTAAACTCTATGCACCCTAATGTCATTTTGCAGCCTGTTTACTAAAGATCCAGAGCGTCATCCTGATCCCATTAGAGTGAGTGGGACCATATGTTGGGCCAGGTAATAAATGGAGTCCTGAACCATCTTTGACTCATATTGGCTCCACTGTTGGGTCCATGTAGTGACCATTTCACTAGTCTCCAGATAACTAGAATAGACACTTTGAAGTTGACAACCTTCACATTGGTTCATTGGCCTGTAAGACATAACAAAGAAAGGAAAGCCGGGTACAAGTTCTAAGATCATTTCTGCTGCACTTCCCCCACAGCAGTCAAGATAGTTAATGAAAATAATATCCCAATCCTGGGTAAATAGCAGATACTATTTCCATCCCTAAAGACCTAAATTATTCAAGAGAGTTAGTTCTTGGGGCTGGGGTTATGACTTAGTGGTAGAGCACTTGCCTCGCACATGCAAGGCACTGGTTTTGATCCTCAGCACCACAAAAAATAAATAAATAAATAAAATTAAGTTATTATGTCCATTTACAACTAAAAATGTTAAAAAAAAAAAAAGAGTGTTAGTTCTCATCTTATTTTCATTTCATTCACTAATCTTGCCTCTACCCTAGCTGGCTGGATGCTGAAAGATGACAGTAGTCTACCATAAATAGAATCAAACAGTGTTGAGAGCCACAGCCGAAGGGGCCCCAGCAAACTTCCAGCTGCCAGCAAACTTCCAGCTGCCGGCTGATGATTGGCTCACAGCGGCCCCAGCAACATCTAGCTGATTGGCTCCTCTGCGGTGATGCTCATTGGGCTGTTTCCCTGCCCTTTCAGACCACGGAGCTGCTCATTGGGGGACTTTTTTGGCTCCGCCCACGTGACCCAGCCAATCGGCCTCAAGAGCAGGAGGATTGGGGGAGGTGGAGAGAAGCTTGTGTGGGAGAGAGAGGCTTGTGGAAAGCCGGTGGTGGCAGTTGAGGCTCTGAGGGTTTTTCCTGAGAGGCTGTTTTGTTTGGCGTGTGTGGTTCTAAAAATAAAGTTAGTTTCTTTTGACAAGTGGCTCCTGATTGTGCCCAGCCAGACTGCGGCATTTGGTGGCTCGCACGGGGAGCGACTGAGGGTAAGTGAAACTGCTCGCCCCTGAGGGCAGGGCGAGAGGATGGGTAGCCATTTTAAGATTCCTCTTTTATTTTGCTTCACTTTTGTTTTAAGTTGCCTGTCCCTGGAGATGAGTGAGACGGAAGAAAAACCGCTCACATCTGAGGAAAAACTATTTACGTCTGAGGAACAGATAGGGAGAAAGGACGGATGCACATGTCAGGAGGATAGAAAGGCTATAATGACTTTTTGTTGTTCCCTT